AAAAAAAAAAAAAAGGACAGGAGTCAATCAACAGCCAATTAATTGATTGATCTATCTAGAAGCCTTTTGTAATTATTTTTGATCTATTCAGCTGCTTGTGGGATCATGATTCAGGCGAAAGGGAGAAAGAAGTGGAAGAAGCAATTCCAGCATTTCCTAAAACCATTGGTACATTGGTCCAACATAGATAAATGAATCTATGACTGCCATCTCAAATACAGACGGCACAGACAGTTAGACACAGATTCATTTTTCTTCACTCACGATATAAACAAGACGTTATTTTATCAAAGTGAAGCAGAGCAAAATACAGGACACTACATTACATTATTAGCAGGAAGGCCTATTTTTTCTCAGGAAGCTTCTCTAACAACCCTGATAGCACTTCATCAGCTACCTACATTTCAAGAGTTCATTAATCGCAAGAATGCACAATATGCACATGGTAACAGTCTAGGATTTCTGTCGCAGGCTCATTAAAGGTAAAATGCAGAGTCTTCTAAAAACCCACATACAGAATAACAATATATATATATATATATATATATATATAAAATTTTTTTTTCTTAAAAAAGCTGATTTGCCACTACTCGAAGCTTTGAGAGGCCAAGGAGATGCACATGTTGAAAATGACTTGCCCCCTTCAAAGTTCTTCATGGCTGGCACTCGTTTTTTTTTATTTTTGATATTAATCTCTCAATATCAGGTAATTACATTGAGTTTCGATAATCCAAAGTTGAGCCGTGTCTGACTCTATTAGAAAGGAAACTTTCTCAGTACCTATTTCTCTATTTACAATACTCGAATTTAAAATCTTGCAAAGAGCTGAATTTTTTTCATTCGAACGAACAAGTCGCTAGTAATGACTGACACTTGTACTTAAATGCCAAATTTAGATATCACATTCCATGTATAAGATAAAATAAACCACTCAAAAGTACAACTAGCCCATAATGTGATAATAAAAAACTCATTTTTGGGTATAACTCATTTTTTTTATAATAATTCATAGCAAAAATATTGCATTCATACTTATTATTATTATTATTATTATTATTATTTTTTGTAGTAGTCAGCATATATTTGAGTACTAAAATTAAAAATTCTTACATAATTACCACTGTTTTAGTGTTTTTTTAAGAAATCAAACATTAGTTAATAAGGTGGGAACTGAATACCCTTATCAACTAAATTATAACTCCTTGAGTCACCATACATCTTTCCAAAATGTAACTACTAGCTCCGACTGCTTCATTCCCTTTCCAGCCACTCTAACAGGGGTTTGCAATCGTTTCTAAGCTCATAAAACTAACTCCGAAGCCCCAGCCCATTAACCGTACAAGATCACTGAGGATTCTCGGAGAAACCCTCGCTATATCAAGTATCAACACCAACTGCTCGCCTCCGTCTATACGCTTCCGCAGCAATTAGTATTATTATCTCTCTTTTTCTTTCCTGAATTGATGCCGAAGAAATCTTTACTATCTTAATGGCAGCCAAACGGGTGGTGAACAGTGTGGAAAGCATCAATTCCTTAACGGATGAAGTCATTTGCCACATCCTCTCATTCCTTCCAACTAAAGATGCAGTGCGCACATCCATTGTGTCAAGAAGGTGGAGGTGTCTTTAAACTTTGGTTTCTAATCTTGATTTTGAGTTGCGGCCTGATTACGGTGATGATTCAAGTGTGAATCAACTGATGAATTTCGTAGAGAGAGTATTGCTCTTCCATAACAGACCATCTGCGGTTAGATTTCGTCTCAAGTGCATTCATTATAATCACCATATTGGTACTCCACAATTTGAGACTTTGCGAATTGATGGATGCATTCGTGCTGCAATGTGACATAGTATTCAAGAGCTGGAGCCTGACATAACCGAATCTGATATCAATCTTGAGTTCCTTTGAGCTAGTTTATTTGCTTGTGAGACACTGGTGGTCCTGAAATTGTGTTTGGTTTCAGGTTATGACAGTTTTGATTTCCCATCCAAGGTTTGTCTCCCGAGGCTTAAGATTCTTCACATTCATGTTGGATTCTAAAATGCTGAATCTGTAGAAAGGCTGTTTTCTGGTTGGCCAGTTTTTGAGGATCTGATTCTAGATGGTTGTTGTTCAAGATATGCATGTTTAAAATTCAAGGTTTCTAATCCTACCCTCAAGAGACTTACATAAGAGAGATGAGATATGAAGGAGTGACTCCACAGATTGTGATCAATGCCCCAAGTCCTGTCTACTTCAGTTTCTCTGAGTCGGAATTACACCCCCTTCTTTTTGTAGACATGCAGTTTCTTTGGGAAGCAGTTATTGATTTTTATTTTTGGTTTGATTCTGCAAATTATGCTGCTGGATTGGGTTTTAATTAAGCATCTGATGGGTTGAGTTATAAAGGGAGTCTTGCGAGTCATTGCTGTGTTCTGTTTTCCATTTTGCCCCAAGTTCTCACAGACTACCTAAAAGGCATCGAAATGGTGTTATGGAAGAAATTACTGCTTTCCTGAAAAGTTGGAGTATTGCTAATGTTTATTATCTTAGTTATTCTATCTCATCATAAGCTGTTGTTTATTACATTAAAATATTTTGCTTAGTAGAAACATTTTGTAAAGATATACAGGTGACCCAAGGAGTTGTAGCTTAGTTGGTAAGGGAGTTTGCTCCCCATTTTGTTGATTAAGTTCAATTTCTTAGGAAGTCAGCAAAGAGTTATTTTTTTATAAATTTCTTAGTTCCAACACCAGGACATCCAGACTACTAAATTAAAAAAAAAAAAAGTACTGATGCAGTAATTTTGCTATGAATTATTGTAAGAAAAATGAGTTAAACCCAAATATGGGGTTTTATATTATCACATTATGAGCTGGTTATGCTTTTGAGTCCTTTATTTCGTCTTATACATGGAATATGACATCTACATTTTGCATTTAACAACGAGTGCTAGCCATGAAGAACTTTGAAGGGGGCAAGTCATTTTCAACACGTGCATCTCCTTGGCCTCTTAAAGCTTCGAGTTGTGGCAAATTACCTTTTTAAATA